ATTTGTCAGAGCAGTGACTTCACTGCGGGTAACGATGGCAAATCGATCTACGACGCCAAGTTTACCAATAAGAACATCATGAGAAAGCACACCGTGACCTGTCGATGGCGAAGGCTGTTCCGGGGACAAATGACACGTACTTTTTCATCTGCACAACAAGGACGAAGTGGCTTGACAACAAGCACGTGGTGTTCGGGCAGGTGGTGGAGGAGTACGACATATTGAAGGCGGTGGAGAATGTCGGGTCGGGGAGCCACCGGACCTCGAGACGGGTGGTGATCGCCGACTACAACCAACTCCAGATCTGATGGTTGTGTGTCGTTTAATTTGAAGTTTGTTGGAGACTATTTTCATAACTACCTAATAATTGTCTTCTGATTTGTTAAATTTGAAATTAAAAAATAGTTTGTTGGATACTTTTTTTCATAACTACCTAATAATTTGTCTTTTGATTTGTTAAATTTGAAATTAAAAAATGAAGTTCATGTCACGTTCGTAAGACTCTGGAAATCATATAAGAATTTTATATTATATGATCGATTGGTTCCTAAAAACTTGGCGCATATATACAATCATTTTTCAAAATTTAAATTTTAAGATTACATATAAATATTTCTTCAAATGGTCATATTTTTCTTTTTAAATTTATTAAAGTTTTAAGATTACTATTAAATATTTTTTCAAATGGTCATAGTTATCCCAACACGTTTTATCACACTAAAAATAATATTTTACGATTTATCACACTACAAATAATATATTATAATTTATTTTTTTTCACACAAATGTTTGAAAATTTTAATTTGTTGACAAGAAGGTTCGCCACAAAATCAAACAAAAAATATTGTGTATAGGGAACTGTTCAACAATATATGATTTTTCATACTCTGTATCTAATTTTTTGCCATAATAAAATGTTTAAACTTTAGTAATTATATTTGAAAATAAAGTTTTAAATAGGTTTTGAGGAACAAGCCTCACCGTGCATCGCACGGGTTGCTCACTAGTATAAAAATAAATCACTGGCCCAAAAGGACTAATGAAAGCGTGATTAGAGCAGAGTATCGCGAGCTAATTAATACACATATTACTAGTACACTACTAGTATACCACTCTGCCAAATAAAATAATAAGAAAAAAGTTATACTACAATTCCTTAAAAAAAATGTAAGAGAGATATTTTTATTTAAATTTTAAATACTTGTTAAAAAATTGCATTATTCAACCGTCTCAATATATTAATGCAGAATGTTCTGATCCTATGTGTTGACTTTTACTGCTTCGTAATCTTATTTGTCAAATTTTGTTGCTTCGGAGTAGGCCACATATATCAGGATTCTATCCATACCCATTAGAACTTTTAAAATTTTAAAGTTCTTGAATAACTTAAATTATAAATATATTTAAAAGTTAAATTTTATATATTATTTATTAAATTAATTATCTTTTGATGAGTTTTGATTAGGTATTCATATTACATATTTAAAATAAATAAAAAAATAATTTCATTATTATTATAAATTAAATTATCTATTATAACTAATTCAAGATTAATAAAATTATATATCAGTTCAAAAAGTTGTCTGTAAATTCATTACATGTAAATTAGAAAATTTATAATAATATAAGATATACAAATCATACAAGTGAAAATTTTTATTTTAAATATAGATAATTATGCAATTTTTAAAACATATTTAAATTTAAATAAAAAAACTCATCACTTATTTTTTTTTATAGAATTCAATATAATTTTTTAAATAGCACCCATGTAATCACGAGCATTGCACTAGTTATTTATATTTAAAAATTATTTAGGCAATATGAATATCAAATCGAAACTCGTCAAAATATAATTAAGTTGATATATTATATATGAAAAGAAATAATAAATACAAAAGATATTAACTTTTAAATATATGTATAATTTAAATTAAATAAGTATTTTATAATTTAATCATCGTAAAAAATATGAATAGAATCAAGATCAACATATAATTTAAGTTAGTTGATTGTTTTGTAATTTTTATAATTTTAATAAGTATGAAAAGAATCTGGATCTATATAGATTATTTCGAACCACCATAATCTAACACACAAGATTACAAAGTACTAGAATAAATCTTAATATGGAAAAAATTCAGATATATATGAATTATTTGGAAACACCAAAATCTGACACATAAGATTGCAAAATACCAAAATTTAACACATAAAATTACGAAACACTAAAATTCGACACGGGACATTTTGCATTATAAATTTATACTAGTGAACACCCGTGTATTACACGGGTGGTTGTTGAAAAATTATTCTTAAATCTTAAAATTAATGAGAAAAATTATTTTAAATTTTATTTACTTTTTTACTAAAAGTATATATTATTATATATTTTAGAATGACACTTGTTACTTTGTGCGACTTACATGTGTTATATTATAGTAAGTTTTATAAGTTATATCATATAACTACTTGAAATAAAAATATATTAATTTGTAAATAATTTATTTTTCTAATTAAGATTAAAAACAATTTTATTGTTGTTATAAAGATAAGTATAATTTATTTTTTTATACATACAATATGGATGTTAAATCGAAGTTCATCAAGAGATGATTAATTTGATATATTATACATGTAAAATTGATAAAAAATACAGAAGTTATTAACTTTTAAAATATATTTACAATTCAATGGTTATAATAAGAAATGATATTAAAATGCAATTAATACATGTAACATAATCATAAATAATCAACATATTTATGGATAATTCGGATGTAATTATTTTTTGATTAGAAGTAAATTAAAATCTGTCCAAGCCCGAAATTTGTCACATAGAATTTCGAAGAATACGAGTCTGCCATTTAAGTTCAGCACGTTCTGAATTAATATATAAAGGAAGGAATAAGGTCGTGTGCAAAACATGATCTCTTAGATTACGTGAAATTTTATGACTATGACTTTTGCGCAAAAATGTCTCGTTCAGCTATAATTGATTGTTATTTAAATCCACGAAAAGGCAAATAATCACAATCTATAAATGGTTACTTTAATAATTTCATGTTTCTCTTTTTAATAGTCATATCCCACCCGCGTCGAGTCTTAGGCTAGTTGTCTTAGGTCCATGGCCTCCATCCTCTGTACCAAAAAAAAAAAGAGTTATATTTTTTTAATTAATTACTCACTAATTTCATATTTAAGAAGGTTTCTTTTAATTAAATCTAATTAGTTAATGACTAAATTAAAAAGGTTTCTTTTAGTTAATCACACATTTATGTTTCTTATTCTCATTTATATATACTAGTAAAGTGTACGTGCATCGCACGTGGTGGCGAATGGTTTTTACCGATTAAATTTAGTAAAATAAATAAATTAATTTATTAAACATATCATTGTAGGAACGAAGTAAAATATAGAACAAATGGGCTTCTAATAGTTTTTTTTTCTAGTAGTTTTTTTTTTTAATGACATAATATGTCCTAATATAAAAAGAATGAAATGACATATTACAACTCCGAAAAAAATATAGTCCCTAATGAAAAGAAAAACAGTAAATAACTAAATAAAAAGAGTAATTTTCTTTCATTTTGGTTTTCACGTTTTTATAAGAAACATTCATACTCGTTGGAGCCCAATACATCAATAGTATTGCAAAATTCTTATTAATTCATTTGACAAACGTCTACTTTATTCAAATACTTATAAATATTCTGGCCAAATCAATTTCATGATTGTATGATCTTTATAAGGTATTTCTACTGACAGTTCATGCAAATCTTTGTAAAATAATANATATATATATATATATATTAAGGCATACCCTTTTTTGGAAATATTTTAAATATATGCAATAATGTTCCCATATACATTTTTTCAAATAAGATCAAATTAGATATGATCAAAAATATTATTTCCTTAAACAATTTTATTAATATCTGCAATAATTTTATATATATTTTTTACATCTAGAAAGACTTCTACATTTTTTAAATGCCACATTGGATTTTTGGAGCTAGGTGGCAATGAAATAGAGCAATCCCTTTACAATTGGAGATGTCCTAAAACAATTATTTTCTCTTATATCGATGAATAAATATATATACAAATATCAAATCTATAATATTATAAATTATAAATGTGGTAGTGAGATAATATATTAATTATTTTACAAGTTATCCCTAACATGCTCAATATGTTCTGCCTAAAAAAACAACGTTGATTAAAAGAGGTGGAAAATATATTATAATCCTATTGTAAAAGAGGTGGAAAATAGATTATAATCCTATTGTTTTCTACATTTTAACGCTGATTAAAAGAGGTGGACAATAAATGATATAAAGCCTGTGAAAATAACTTATTTAATATCTTCCTTCCGTGCATCGCACGGGGTACGTACTAGTGCCATTTAATACATCAACTATATGTGTTAATTTGTGTAATCCAACGTTAAAAACTCACAAGAAAGTGATTGAAGCTCGAACGTCATCCGCAATGAAAAATTAATATTTTTATAACTTATATGCATAAATAATATATATATATATATATATATATATATATATATATGTGTGTATAAATCGTTTCCAGTACGGTTAACCGATCGCTATTATCCAAAACGAACCAAAACCGAACCAAATTTCGGCCCAAACCAAATTTCCAATTTTGGTCGGGGTTAACCAATTTTGTAAGCCCCTAGTTTCATTTCAATGTTTAAAAATGTAACAAAGCAGAAATGGAGTTTGTTCAAAAAAAAAAGAAGAAAAAAAAATCTTAAATTTTGCCTAAAGCAAAAGAGATCAAAATCTAATAACTGGAGTTGAGCACAAATGTATATATAAACTCTACCCCCAATTTTTCGCTAATATCTTTTACATTTTACACACTAATGTTCAAAAATACCGACGACACGCGCGTTGAGAATCTTTGCGTCAAATAATCTACAGACACAATCGGTCAAAATAAAGGAGAAAAAATTCAATCCTCAATTGAATTCTTCACTACCAGCACTGGTCGGTCTCCCAGGTCCGCCTCCCCCCGGACGCGACACAAAAGCCGCCGGCCGACGATATCGCCACCGCCCGCGGCCACCGGAGGAGCGACCGATCGTACGCCTCCCGCTTCTTCGGGTCGGACAGCGTCGCGTACGCCGCGTGCACGCGCATGAACTCGTCCGCCGACGGCCGAGCGCCGCCGCCTGCGGCGGCGTCCGGGTGCAGGACCCGCGCCAGGCTCCGGTACGCGGACTTGATCTCCTGGCACGTGGCGCCCGTGCGGATCCCCAGGACTTCGTAGAAAGACGCCTCCGCCTGCGGCGGCGCGGCGTGGCCGGTAACTCCGGCGGCGGCGGCGGAGATCCGGAGCTGGGGACGATGGTTGGGGGAGGCGGTGGGGAAGCTCCGGGCGGTGGAGAAGGCGAATGACGTGGAGGATGCCATGGGATAATAAGGGTCTGTTTGGGGTGGATTTTTTGGGGAAAAGGAAATATCGGAATTTGAAGTGTAGAACAATTTTTGGTGGAGGGAGTGGATAGTGAGTGGGGGGTTATATAGAAAGGTAAGGTGATAATTTGGGGGGTAAATAGTAAATATGGTGACCACGAAGGATGCGTGTGTAAAAAAAAAAATTGATGTGGGGCTTCTAATTTTATCCATAGCATATCATAATTCAGATGTCGAGCGGTATGGATAAAACGCTGACTTGCTGACTCGGTTCTTAACATTATTGGGGTGCACCGTGCCAGTACCACTACCGTATGGCCTGACACACCTTGCTATGCCAGAGCAATTATGCACGCGCCTAATTACTTCCAAAAACCAAAAAAATGAGAGAGTATAATACACATGCCACTTTCTTTTTTTTTTAATTGAAAATGAGACATATTAGATATATTAAAATATCATTAATGATTTATATTAAAATAAAAAAATAAATATACCAAAATTCATAAATTTTCATTGTCTATAAATAGAGACCACATTTGGTAGGTTTTTTTTAACATAATTAATTTTTTTTTCGTAATCAATTTATTACACTGACATAGGATGAACATGTTACATAATAAGATGAATATGTTATCAAATAAGATGAACATGTTACGGACATGTTCATCTTATGTTATAACATGTTCATCTCATTTTGTAACATATTCATCTTATTGTGTAAATATGTAACATGTTCATCTTATTCTATAACATGTTCATCTTACTATGTGACATGTTCATCTTATTCTATAACATATTCATCTTATTTTATAACATGTTCATCTTATTGTGTAAATATGTAACATGTTCATCTTATTCTATAACATATTCATCTTACTATGTAGCACGTTCATCTTATTCTATAACATCTTACTATGTAACATGTTCATCTTATTATGGATCTGCGTCTTCATCTTCCAACAAAATAAATTAATTGTGAAAAGTGATAAATTAATTGTATTCTAAAACTTATCAAATGTGGTCTCTATTTGTAGATAATGAAAAATTATGAATTTTGGTATTTTTATTTTTATTTTTATTTTTTAATATAAAATATGAATGATAATCTAATTTATATATAACATGATATATAAAATTCATTATCCAATAGAAATGGGACACATGTCCCGTTTAAAAGAAAAAACCTTACCTCACGCGCTTGTTTGGGGGAGTGTACTTTACAAAGGCTTTGGCGCACCTAATTATTTGCGGCACCGTGCAGTACATATCTTGAATTTGATCCTCGTCACTCTGAATCTTGGTCATGTCAATAATACGAAGTTGAAAATGAATATTTTCTTTTTCGTTTGAGTTAAAATTAATTACGTTATTTTTGAATTGCATTTATTGTCTAACTATTTTTATTGAAAGTAGGCATTTGTTCGTTACAAATTGGATGGATTCTTTCAGGGTAGATAGACATTTTTCCGTATGGGGTTGAAAATGTACCACTGTTATTCGAATTGAGTTGTTCGTTAATACTTAATATAGTACGATTCAACTTGAAAAGTTTGAGTTCAACTCGCTTATATAATGAAACGATCAAAAGTGAAACATCTAAATGAGTCAAACCAACTTTATACGAGTTGAACTCGAGCTTACATTTTTTTTTTTATATTAATCATTATGAGGCACACCAGCTTGTTTATAAACAAGCACGGTTTTGAACATGAAGTGCTCCTATTAAATTATCTAGCACGGTTTATAAACAATCATTATGACCGCGCGTCGCGACGCGGCAAATTTAAATTTATAAAGTTTTCCTATACTAACCTCTACTAACTAGTAGTAGCGGCGAGTAAGGGTCGATCCCACGAGGAGCAGGAATTAAATCGTGATAATTTCGTATTAATTGAATTAAACTAAGAAAGCAATAAAGGTGGGGGGATTGGTTTAATAAAAATAAAAATAGAAATAATAAAATAAAATAAAAGATCAAATAAAATAAGAGAAGTCCAGTTTTCGGTTCAGTTATCACTCAATCTAAATCTACCGTTAATTAATTTCGACGCTTTCTCTATAATGCTAATGAATTACCAACCCTAGCTAACAACAAGCTCTGTTAACCGAATTTTCCCTTACTGAATATTTAATCGAAATAAGCTCTTCGACTAAATCTAACTAGCGGACAACCTAGAATAAGCTCTCTAGATTTAATACACTAGCAGCATTAATAATGAGGAAAATAGATCAGTCTAAGCAATGGACGCAAAAGCTCGGACCATTTAACTTATGTTCACGCTACCCTAGAGATGCACGACCCCTAGTTTACTACTAACGAAACAAGACAATAACAATTACGGATTAAAGTCTCGAATCTAGCAATTAAACTATGAATATTTAACGTAGTTGGCCAGACTAAATCAAACACCATAATTCATAAACTTTATACACAGATAACATGAATCAAACTCATCAACAAAAATAAATACGGCGTCTCGATTAATCAACGATAAAAATAAATCCTTCAATCCATAGACAAATCAAAGTTAGGGTTCAAACATCCCCTCAAACTGGATGAAAATCTAAATTTACATACTAATAAAAATAAAAGATAGATAAAAGAGAGAATAAAATATCTCCCTCAGTGTGCGAGTGCGGCTTCCCTCCGCGGTGTCTTCTTTCTCTGTCCCTGCGTGCGTGCTTGTGCCGCTGCGTCTTACGTTTCTTTTTTTGTTCTCGCAAAATAAATCCCTCCAATATGAGTTATGTGCCGTGAGCTTTCCTACTTCTCCAAATAAATTGATTCCAACCCAAATTAATTGCAATGTTGCGGCCCCACTCATCAAATTCCTCTCAATTTAGTTGGCAGCGTGGATCATGTTGCTTCCCAACAATTAGAATTCTTTATTTGGCCCATCCAAATTGATTCAAAGTTACAAACAAAGCAAAAAAAATCCTCCACGTCACTTTCATTTCTATTTGGGCCGAAAATAAGTTAATATCGGAGGCTCGATAATTGATCGTGTGAATTCCCGTCCAATACTTCGCGAACACAAATTGCTCCAAAATACTGAAAATAACACATAAAATACCAAAACAAATAAATCCATCCAAATAATAAATAGGGCGAAAAATATAAATGTGCAATTAAATTAAGTGTATAAAAGTACACCATTAAATATATAAAACATGCACATTTTTCGACCTATCAGAAGGAATGGGAAGGGGCCTATATAATCCCGCATTCGATGCGACACCCTTCGAGACATGACAAACACGACACCGCTCAACAAACCGTCCCACGTCCCGGCGAAGGGACGGCCAAAAATAGGACCGCCCGACCAGATCAACCGAACGGTCCCGCCCCACGTGTCCCGCACCATGCAGCTCCGCAATGAGTTTTTGTTGAAGGCTGCAGTCTGGAATACAAAGCCGGACCCCACGGAAAAGGAACCCATCAGACAAAGAGTAGTCCCCAACAGGACCATCCGCAAGGCGTCGAACTATCGGCCCAAAGAACGGATCCTCAGAATACAACTTCCGCAACACCTCAAAGCCCACAACAAAAACACGTAAATCCGTCAACAACAGTGCACGCCTGCTTAACGCGTCCGCCACCCGGTTCGAAACTCCCGACCGATGCTTAAGGACAAACGTAAACTGTTGAAGAAAAGTTGTCCAAGAGGCGTGTCGAGCAGAAATATTATCCTGAGAGGCCAAGTGTCGTAAGGCCTCATGGTCCGTGAATAGAATAAACTCCCGATGAAATAGGTAATGCCGCCAATGACGGACAGCCCGAACGATCGCATAAAATTTCACGTCATAAGTGCTATAGCGAGTCCGAGGGCCAGAGAGTTTCTCACTAAAGAAAGAGACGGGACGACCCTCCTGACTGGACAGCACCAATGCCCACCTTCGAGGCATCGCATGACAGCTCAAACGCCGTCGAAAAATCTGGGAGGACAAGCAGAGGAGCCGATGTCAACTTCTGCTTGATAAGAGAAAATGTTGTCTCTGCCTCCGGAGTCCAGACAAACGACTTCCCATGAAGTCAATCGGTAATCGGGGTCGTGACAGTGCTAAAGTGGGAAATAAAGCGGCGGTAAAACGAAGCGAGGCCGTGAAAGCTCCGATCTTCAGTAAAGGACGTCGGAGTCGGCCAATCACGAATAGCAGCCACCTTGTTATCGTCTACACGGATGCCAGCTGCCGAAATAACAAAACCCAAGAACAGCACCGAATCCACACAAAAGACACATTTACGAGGTGCAGCAAAAAATGACTCAGAACGTAAAACAAGTAGTACCTTGCGAACATGCTGTAAGTGCTCCTCCAACGATCGACTGTAAATAAGAATATCGTCGAAATAAACGACGACACTCTTGCCAATAAAATCACGCAGTGCCTGATTCATTACCCGCATGAACGTGCTAGGGGCATTAGACAAACCGAAAGGCATCACCATCCACTCAAATAGTCCCTCACGGATCTTGAATGCCGTCTTCCACTCATCCCCTGGCCAGATCCGAATCTGGTAATAGCCGCTACGACTTGGGGAGAATAGAAGCACCATGGAGCTGATCAAGTAAATCGTCCAATCGCGGAATAGGAAAACAGTAACGGACCGTGATCTTGTTAATGGCGCGACTGTCAACACACATACGCCAAGACTGATCCTTCTTAGGAATGAGGAGGGCGGGAACGGCACAAGGGCTCAAGCTACGGCATACCGACCCTCGCTGAAGAAGCTCCTCGACTTGCCTGCGCAACTCCTCATGCTCCAACGGACTCATCCTATAGTGAGGTCGATTTGGTAGAGCCGCACCCGGCACCAAATCAATGTGGTGCTGAATGTCACGAAGTGGCGGTAAGCCCGATGGCAGATCCTCCGGGAACACGTCAGCAAACTCAGACAACAAAGGGCGAATGGCTACCGGAGGTACCCGCTCGCCACTCGCATCCGTCCCCCCCAACAATAAAACCACCGAAGAATCCCTCATTGCCGCCACAAAAGCAGACTGAGAAAGAAAAAGGACCGATGACGCGGCCGTCGATGGCTGCACTGCACGCGGTGGAGAAGGAACTAGAATAATTTTGACCCCACCAAAGAGAAAAGAATACGTGTTCTGCCGCCCGTCATGAGTGGCCGCTCTATCATACTGCCAAGGGCGGCCCAACAATAAATGGCAAGCATCCATCGGGACCACATCACACCACACCTGATCCCGGTATGTCGGGCCAATGGAAAAAGAAACGAGTGCCCGACGGTCAACAGTTACCGCTCGGTCCTGCTGTATCCACGCCAAGGTGTACGGCTGAGGGTGAGGCTCACAAGAAAGTTGTAGCTTCTCCACGGCTTCTTGAGAAATTACATTTTCACAAGCACCAGAATCAATAATAAAACGACAAATTTTATTACCCATCGTGCACGTGGACTCAAAGAGGTGGTTCCGCTCGCCGGGTGCCTCACTCGATCCCGTTGGTGTCAAACATGTGCACCGAATGACCAAAGCTGTACAGACATCCCCGCGAACAAATTGCTCGACCTCGCCCACTTCCGTATCATAGACCACCGGGCCGTCATAACCTTCCGCCGCGTCGACCTCTCCACCCTCCTCCGTGAATAGAGCACGCGACCCAGCCATCTTCGGACACGCGGACTGCCGATGGCCCACTTCGCCACACCCGAAACAGTGGAGACCCGCCACCGTACAGGCTGCCGCCGCCGACAGCGGTTGTCCGCCAACACCTCCGGTCCGCTGGTATGACCCACCAGTCCCTGCCACGCGGTCCGATGCAATCCCCTGGCCCAAGCTCACACTCGCCGCAACCACCTGCCGCGGCTGAAACGCTGCGCCTCCCGAGGCTCCGCCTTGTCTCGAGAAGGACCCAAAAGAGGGACCCGATTTTTGAGCCTGGTGAATCTCTGCAAGAATGGCGCGTTGGTGAGCATCGGAAATCGAATCCGCGCGAAAAAGGTTTAGCGTATCCCGCAACGAGGCCCGCAATCCTCCAACATAGCGGGACACCAACTGGTTTTTGGTCTCACGTAAGTCAACCCGTGTGAGGAGACGATAAAACTCGGTCGTGTACTCATCCACCGACCGAGATCCTTGACGCAAATTCTGTAACTGCTGGTACACAAGACTATCGTAATTAAATGGCACGAATTCACACTCTACATACTTACGAAACTTCATCCAAGAGGATAATTCCGGCTTCCCTTGTCGATGCCGCATGCTCGTGAGCTGCATCCACCATGTCGCAGCCCTTCCACGAAAACGAGTGGCGACGAAAGCAACACGCTTCTCCTCCGGCACCCCTTTAAACCGAAAAAAGGCCTCCACGGCCGCCCACCATTCAACAAACTCCGACCCATCAACCCCTCCGGCGAACTCCGGTATATCTACGTGAAGCCCCTGATCCCAACGTGACTCATCGCCCCCTTCTATCGGACGTCTGCCGTTACGTCGGTTCCGACCTCCCCGAACAACTCCAACCCTCTCACCGTAAACGGCCCGATGCTGAAAATCTCCTGCACGGCCCTCCCAGCCCCGGCGAACCGGTTCGTCATTGTCCGAGTCAGAAGTCGATGCGGCGGCGGACGTCGGCGGCGCACGTCTCCACCACCACGGAAGTCCCACCATCCGCCGTCATCGTCCGGCTCACTGAAGTCTTCCCACTCGTCATCCAAGTGCGGGTTCCGTCCATCGCCTCCTCTGTTCCCGTCCTAGCCGACCCCGGCCGCCGCCATCCCCATCCCGAGTAGCGCGATCGTCCCCATCCGTTCTGCGTCGCTGGCCCTCGGCGAATGGATTGTCCGCACTCCACGTGTCCTCGTCGTCGTCTTCGTCGGACAGAGGCGGTTGGCCATGGTGGCGGGGCACCCCACGGAATCCGCGACCTCCCCGACCCCCGCGATGCCCTCCGCGCGCGTCCCGGTCGACGGCGTCACGGTTCGCACGCGCATCTGCCATCAAGGTACGCGTCGCCTGCTGTAATTCCTCAATCTCGGTGTTGATGTCAGTGAAACGTTCATCCATCCTTTGAAATCGATCTTCCATCCTCTAGGATCGTTCTTCAATGATGTTGTCGTTCCTTTTCGGCGGCATCGTGGATCGCTGCTGGTCTCTGGATACCAAATGATGTAGAGCGTAATACGAACGGGAGATAAATTGAGATACTCTCTCAAGAACTGATAAAAGATGAGATGCTCTATCAGAAAAGATAAATTTTTTCAATCGTCCAAAACTGAAAATCCCTAACCCTTCCAACAGCATATAAATGAAAAGGAAAATAAAACTTCCTAATCTTGCCCCACAATTGCAAGATAATTATTTTTCTACCTCAAACTACTAATTACTTCAGAAAAAAATTTGTTATGCTATCAAATGTCGTGCTTGTATTTATGTTACTTTTTTAAGTATAATATTTCTTAATGAAAGTCTACATATTTTAGAAATATAATACATCCGTACAGCCTAATATAAACCTAATGTTACCAAACATACTTAAAATGTGTTAACATGCATGATGAATATGACATGGTGGTGCGAGTTATGGTACTTTTATTGTTAACGCATTAAATATATAAAAATTTCATCCTCAAAGCCAAAATATATATATATCTCCAATTCTTTTATCTATTATTGGTTATTGATCTTCTCGCTCTTCATATTCTCTTGATATTATTGGTTATTGATCTTCTCGCTCTTCATTCTTTCCACTTTCAAGATATGTATGTTTTTAGTTCTTTTATTCTTTATTACTACTAGTTCACACAAGACTGCACACGAATTCAGCAGCTCGCGAGCGCCCAAAGCTTGGATGGAGCTCGAGTTTGACCGAATTCGAGTCGAACTCAAGCCATATTTTGCATTATCGAGCGACTCGAGATACATATTAAACTACTAAAATACCTCTTGAATATATATATATATATATATATATTATAATATTAATATATGTACTTAATTGTAATTTTAAAAAATTGATTGAAAATTTTGAATCTGAACTCGAGCCGAGCTCGAGCATTTCAAATTCGAGCCGAGCTCGAGCTGAGTTCGAGTTATTATATTTTTTTATCGAGTCAAACTCGAGCTTCATAAATCAAGCTCGACGAGCTCCAACTCGAACTCGAGCAGCTAAAAAAAAAAATCAATCCTACTCGACAGCCCTAAATTCACACATCAAGTGTAATATATGACAATTTTTATGTTTTTTTTCCTACCCAATTTCTCAGTAATTGGCACTTGGTTAATTGGCATGTTGAGACAATGACAGGCTTCAACTAGGTAGGCCCAGTAACCTAGCATTCGTTGAATTTGGTACTAGGAAATTGAAAAATTAAAAGGCTTGTTTGTATACAAATAAACCAGTTTTTTACTGGTTTTTTTTTTTGTTAATCATGGTTAATTTTAAAAAAATTATCTTAGTTAAATTTTAGTGGGATACTGAAATAATATTTAAAATAAAATTATTAAAGTTAATTTGATGTGAAAGTAAAAGAGTGATTATTAGATGTAATAAGTAGGTAAAATTATGTGAGTTGATGAATAGTGAACTAAAATTATTGTGACATAGAGGGATAATTAATTGATATTATTTAATTATATTGATAAAATTGAAGATAGTGAAATAGACTTAAAATTGAGTTAAATTTTAATTTTTGATTGAATTTTTTATTGGTAAATTAATAAACAAACAAGCTAAAAGTCCAAGGGTTGTGGATAATGTATACCATAATACTCGAAAACTGGAAAGCGACATTAAAAAAAATCAGGACCCGTGTATTTGCTAGTGATTTCATGTTGAATCAGTGTACCCAAACTCATTTACTTGATTAATCCATCAATTTTGATTGGTAAGATTTTTATAAATTAACCTTTTAACTCAAAATGCTAAATTTTTAAATAGTTCAATAGTCAATATGAAGTTTGGGGAAGAATGAATTTCTAAAAAGTTAATGCAATATGAGGTTTTGATACCGTAATACAATTCGCTAGTTATCAATTATCGCTTTATAGTATCAATTATCGCTTTGAGTATTGTAAATTTTAATTCAATAAATCTTATTATAGTATAGTATAAGTGTAAACGATTTGAGTCGAGCTGAGTTATAAACAAATACATAAAATTTCTATTTTTAAGTTTTCACGAGTTAAACACGAGCTCCGAGCTATCGGTTTCGTAGAACAACTTTACTAATATTACAAAACTAGAAAGTAATAATTGAACGGAAAAAAAAAAAAAAATTATTGAACGGAAAGTGGATTAAAATTGGTCGGCCAACATAGCATGTGAGCTTTTCCATTTATATTTTTTCCCTGAAAAATATCATTAACTAATTTATTAATTCCAGGTAACATGTCCGTCGGTGCAGGTGTTTGGCTGGACAGACGTGACACGTGTCATATTTAACGCTGCTAAATTCACGTTCCAGACTTGATTTCGAGGGTATTATAAGCAAATAATAACACCAATTCTTAAACCACAAACTAGTGTACGAGCCCTTTCAAGAACTAGCCTTTGGACAAAATCTAAGCAACTCATAAGGTGATTCATCATGAATTCAAATGCGAGTTTAGGCTCGACCTATTTGAATAAATGGTCGAACTCAATGTTGGGAATGATGGTCCATAACCAAGAATGATCAAGCATGAAGATTGTAGTGTCTGTTACTTTCGTTTTCTTTTTCTTTTTTCTTATTGAATAAAGGTTTAAGTGTGCACGACGTCGTTTTGTATCTTAGAACACACGACGTCGTTTTGGTCCTAGTACTGTAACAATGCATGCATGCGTGTAAGTATAAAAGAGACGACCGAGACCTTTGTGGTTGACTGATTTGAACAGAAATAAAAATGTTCTCGTTCAATACAAAAATGATTTTCATTTTCTTCATGGTATCAGAGCTTTGATTGCTGGGATTTTGCTGCGAATCTCAATTAATCTGAGTCAAGGACGACGAACGGTGAAGTGATAAAGCTACTTGCAGCTTAGAATTGAAGATGGCGCAAAATAGAGGAAATCCATGGCCGATGTTGACGACGAACACAGTAGCAACATCGAGAACAACTGCGTCAGATCCACTCACATTACACGGATCCGATAATCCTGGTATGATGCTTGTATCACATCAATTGACTGGGAACAATTTCTTGCCTTGGAGAAAATCCATGATTATTGCGTTAGGAGCTAAAAATAAGCTCGGATTTGTCACCGGAGAAATTCCAAAACCTAATATAGATGATGAAATTTATAGCGATTGGAGGAAAGTTGATTGGATGATATTATCATGGATTTTGAATTCACTGTCTAAAGAGATAGCTGAAACTTTTATTTGTGCTGAAAGCTCGAAGGAATTATGGGAGGAAATTGGACAGAGGTACGGGGAAAATAATGGACCACTGAAGTACAAATTACAGAGAGAAATAACGAGCTTAACTCAGGGTAACAGTACTGCAATGGAATACTTTGGCAAACTTAAGAAACTTTGGGATGAATTGGCCTGTGTGATACCTGTGCAGAGCTGTAACTGTGAAAAAGGGAAAATAGCAGCTCAAAATGAGATGGAGACAAAACTCATACAGTTCCTTATGGGACTTAATGATGGATATGATAATTTGAGAAGCCAGATCATGCTTATGGAGCCTTTACCCACAGTAAATAAGGCATATTCTATGGTTTTAAGTGCTGAGAGGCAAAAGAATGTACAGAACTTTTATGGAGAAACAAATGCTATGATGCTGAGGACAAGTGGAGGAGGAAGAGGACAAGGCAGAGGGAACTTCTTTGGCAAACCTGGAAATTCAGGAGATCAATGGAGTAATATGAGAGGAAGAGGAGGAGTTAGAATGACTAAAGAAGATAAAGCCAAATTGCATTGTGACAAATGTGGTATGAATGGGCACACAATTTCTACATGTTTTAAAATCCATGGTGTGCCGGAGTGGTATAAGGAGTATAAGGAACAAAATAATAGAACATATGCAAACAATGCTGAAGTGTACAAACATGAGGGCTCATACAACCAGAAGGGACACATGAAGGATGAAACAAGAGATAATGACCTTGCCTCAGTGATTAAACAGTTGAATGAACTGACACAGTACATAAAGGCAAAGGAGGGTGCAAATCAAAAGCTGGATTATGCTCAGTTTGTTGATTATTCAAATGGTGGGGAAGAGGAAGGAGTTCATTTTGCTCTGTCAACAGCTGAAGGAATTCATAATACTAGCTGGATCATAGATACTGGTGCAAGTAGGCACATATGTGTTAATGGAGGAATGATGAGCAATATGGTGAAGCTGCAAACTCCAGTTAGCATTTGTCTGCCAGATGGAACACTCAAAACCGTGGATAGTGCAGGAGATGTTATTATAAATGAGGAGATACTGCTACAAGATGTACTATACATGCCATCTTTTAAGTACAATCTTATGTCAGTAATGCAGATATGTGCAAACAGCAGTTTGAAATGGACTTTTACTGGTTCCCATTGCTATTTACAAGATCAATCAAATGAAAGGATGCTAGGACATGGGGAGAAGATAGGCAATCTATATATTTGGAAAAATAACTCTGCAGGAAATGAAAGCTGCAATATGAGTATAGAGTCTTGGCACAGAAGCTTGGGCCATACTTCATTCTCAGCATTGAAGCACCTACACTTCTTAAAGGGAAAATGTGGCAAAGAGAGTGAGGTCATATTACAAAGATGTGAGATTTGTCAGACTGCCAAGCAGCACAGACAACCTTTTGGTAGCAGCAGTATACAAACCATTCAAAATTTTGAACTGCTTCACATGGACATATGGGGACCCTGCAAGGATGAAAGCATTATTAATACACCATACTTCCTTACCATAGTAGATGATTTCAGCAGAGGGACTTGGGTGTTTCTTATGGGACACAAAGGTGAGGTTCCCAAGTTATTGAAGGGTTTTATAGCCATGGCAGAAACACAATATGGGTGTGCTGTTAAGAGACTTAGATCTGATAATGGGAAAGAGTTTTTGGGGTCTGAAATACAGGAATTTTTCAAAGAAAAAGGAATTTTGCATGAAACCACATGTGTGTACACACCACAACAGAATGGAGTGGTAGAAAGAAAGCATAGACACCTGTTGGATATGGCAAGGGCACTAATTTTCCAAGCAGGTATGTCTACAAAATTCTGGCCATTTGCTGTTCTTACAGCCGCATATGTGATAAACAGAATTCCAAGCTCGGTTCTAGGCTGGGAAACACCCTATGAGATGTTGAACAAGAAAAAGGCCGACTATGACAGGCTCAAACCATTTGGATGCCTATGTTATGCAGCCAATGTCATGCCTCATAAGTCCAAATTTGACAGGAGGGGCATAAAATGTGCATTTCTTGGGTATATTGCAGGAAAGAAAGGGTACAGATTGTATGATATGGTCACAGGAGAGGTTTTTGTGGGAAGAGATGTCACTTTCTTTGATGATCAATTTCCCTTTGTCTCTGAGTCTGTTAATAAAGAATGCACTTTACCCCTCCCAGTGCCACACTATGATGAAGATAGTCCCACTGACACCTTTGATGCCCATGTTGAGCAACCCATGTCTACAGACAACACTGATACCCTTGACAGCATTGATGCACATGATACAGAACATGGAATGAGGAAAAGTCTGAGACATAAGCAAACACCTGGTTGGCAAAAGGACTATATTTGCAATAATATCACACAACCTACAGTACCTCAGTCTTTGGATTTTTCAGCCTTCATGACTAAAGTTGATATGATCAAGGAACCAACACACTATGGTGAGGCAAGTAAACATCCAGCTTGGAGAGATGCAATGCAGAAAGAGCTCGAAGCTTTAGAACATAACCACACATGGGAAATCACAAATCTGCCATCAGGAAAGAAAGCTATAGGTTCTAAGTGGGTGTTCAAAATAAAGAGGAAGGCAGATGGCTCAGTTGAAAGATTTAAGGCACGGCTTGTGGCTAAGGGATATAACCAGGTGCAAGGTGTGGACTACTTTGAGATCTTTTCTCCAGTAGCAAAATTGGTCACTGTGAGGATGTTTATTGCTTTAGCTGTGCAACAGAATTGGGAACTTCATCAATTGGATGTGAATAATGCCTTCCTACATGGGCACTTATCAGAGGAGGTATACATGAAACCACCCCTTGGTTATCTTAAGGCCAAGCCAGGACAAGTATGCAAACTGGTCCGAAGTTTATATGGACTCAAACAGGCCTCAAGGGAGTGGAACAATGAGCTGTGTCACAAGCTTTCTGTTTTTGGACTTCTACAATCCAAATATGATCATTGCCTATTTACTATGAAACAAGGGCCTGATTTCTTGGCTCTTTTGGTATATGTGGATGATGTTCTGATCACCAGCTCCAGTGGTTTATTGATTCAGAAGTTAAAACAATTTTTGGATATGGCCTTTACCATCAAAGATTTAGGCCTGGCCAAATTCTTCCTTGGAGTAGAAATAACTAGAACCAGCCATGGTGTTACACTTGGGCAAAGAAAATATATCTTAGATATGCTGGGAGATGCAGGTATGTTAGAGTGCAAACCTGCTTCCACACCACTTCCACATGGACTGAGACTGACAATGGATGAAGGAGTACCACTTGATGAGCCTGATAAATTTAGGAGGCTTATTGGAAGGTTACTCTACTTGAATATGACTCGACCAGATGTGACATATGCTGTACAACAGCTTAGTCAATTTGTCACTCAACCTCTCACCACACATTGGGATGCAGCCTTGCACATATTGAAGTATTTGAAAGGGACTTCTGCTTTGGGTATTTTTTTTCCAGCTGGTAATTCTTCTGAGCTCAAAGCCTTTTGTGATGCTGATTGGGCTGCTTGTAAGGATACGAGACGATCTATTACTGGTTATTGTGTGTTCATGGGAGGTGCTTTGATTTCCTGGAAAAGCAAGAAACAACACACGGTGTCTCGTTCTTCCGCTGAAGCGGAATATCGATCTATGAGCTCTTTGGTGGCTGAACTGCTTTGGATTAGTTACATTGCACAGGACTTTCATCTTTCTCTTGCTTATCCTGTACCTCTGTGGTGTGATAATAAGGCTGCCCTCCACATTTGTGCTAACCCGGTTTTTCATGAACGGACCAAGCATTTGGAGATCGATTGTCATTTTGTTCGCGACAAGTTTAAGTCCGGCTTTATCTCTCCTATGTTCATTCCTTCGAAGTTACAATGTGCTGATGTTTTCACCAAACTTCTTTCGGGTCCTCAGTTTCAGACTTTGATTGCCAAGTTGGGCTTGGTTTGTGTCAACCCACGCTCAACTTGAGGGGGGGCTGTTGGGAATGATGGTCCATAACCAAGAATGATCAAGCATGAAGATTGTAGTGTCTGTTACTTTCGTTTCTTTTTCTTTTTTCTTATTGAATAAAGGTTTAAGTGTGCACGACGTCGTTTTGTATCTTAGAACACACGACGTCGTTTTGGTCCTAGTACTGTAACAATGCATGCATGCGTGTAAGTATAAAAGAGACGACCGAGACCTTTGTGGTTGACTGATTTGAACAGAAATAAAAATGTTCTCGTTCAATACAAAAATGATTTTCATTTTCTTCACTCAATTTATTTTTTAAACATTTTATTATTAAATTGAGCTTGATTACATTGTGAATAACTCAAATTTATATATAGCTCTAGTTGTGTTTACAATATCATTTAAAAAAAAAAAAATGTGTTAAAATGAAACATTATTTATTGGTTCACTAATGTCAAATGCTTATATAAAATGAACACTACATTGGACGGTTAACAATATAGGTGTAAACGAGTCCAGTCGAGCTCGATATGTTAACAAAACAAGCTTGAACTCAACTTGAATCGAATTATTTTTTCTAGTTTCATAGTAAGGATATAAATTAGAGTCATTGGTTGAAAATGGCTTTCTAAAGACTCATGATTATGAAAAAGAAAAGGATATAAGGGATTTTTCTATCGTTTTGAGAAAAAAAAAATTAAAGGCTCCAATGGATCTTCAAGAGACGAGGAAAAATAAATAAAAAAGAAAGTGAAAAGAAACAAAGAAAAAAACCTCATATCTCGTCAACTAAACTCGCTTTCAGCGAGTTTACGCTCGGTTTTATTACGTTTAACAACTGCAATTATAAACTAAGTTCCATAAATTTTCATCCATCATTGATCCAATTCCTTGCATGAAGAATGTGACAATCTCCGTTATTTTGGTGTTTTCAGGCCACTCTCCAAAGATACATCAAATAGATATTCAAGACAAAGCAAAACTATCCTTTACCATCTATTTCTAGCATAAACTCCCCTTCAAAATCTATTTGATTACAAAAATTTCCCAACATAGGGAAAAAAAAAAAATCACACTTATACCATATATCATATTTCCCCCAAAGCACGATTACGGCTATATACAATACCACCCGAGATTCGCATCATAACTAAATTCAAGAAAAATAAATGGAATTAATTAAAACAGACACACACATATAACTTATATAGTCGGAATAGAAAACGACGAATCTAACCCGTCCAAGATATCCAACACATCAGCCTTCTGAGCCTTCGTACCTCTTCTTGGCGAGCTTCCGGTGCTCTTACTCAAAGCCCAAATCTTACTCTTTTTATTACTATTCTTAGCAGGCCCGAATTCCTGGCTTTTGCTAAGGCCCGGCAAAAGTTTCCTCCTTTTCATCACATCCTCCAATAGATTCCTATCCTCTGACGAGATGTGGGCTCGGGAGCTATTTTGGGCCTTGGCCCAAATGCCGGTTAATAACCCCTTTTGAGTCGGGGAACGTGTATGGAGAGGCTTCGGGAGCCCATTGTCTCGGTACCTTACGAGGCTGACTAGGCGATGGAGCCATGTGACGAGCTCGAGAATGTGGGCCTCTACTTTGGGCCTGTCCGCGTGGTATAGAGTTTGCAAGCGGATGATATTGTTGGGTGGCGTGCTCGTTTTCTTGCCGAATTCGTTGCTGTAATGAGAAAAAAAATAAAAAATAAAAAAAAGAGGGGCAATTTGGGAAAGTTAAGGTAATTTGTCGGGGGGTTTCGATTTTGAATGTTTATTTTGAGAAGGTGTTTGTTATATTTGACTCACCCGGTGTTGGCCCATTCGCCGACCCATCCGAACCCTTGATGTGCCCTGATCACAATAAAAATCCAGTTATTGTGTTGTATATACAAAAAAAGTCAATTCATACTCAAAATCTAACATTATCCTCAATATTATCAATATACAATTAAATAATATAAACCAATCATTCTTATGTCATATCAACTTTAATTTACTAATCATCAACTCACATAATTTTAACTGACTATCACTTCAAATCATTTTTCTCATACTTATACATCAAATCAACTTTAATTATTTTATTTTAAATATTATTTTAATATAAAATCAAAATCCTATTAACAAGTAACCATACTACTTTTTTTAAAATTAACTCTAATTAACAGAAAAAAACTCATTTTGAGTGAATATATTTGTATACAAACAGATAACTCATGACTGCAAATCATTTATTACAAACATAGTAACAAAGGTACTCATTGATCTGGTAGATTCTATTTTTTGTTTTTGTTCGAGTGAATTGTATAAAGGTTGAGACAGAATTTGCTTGGTAAGATGAAAGTAAGAAAGAAAAAATAATGTAAAGACCAAACTGACTAAAAGAATCGTACTTGGTTGTGTCTGTAGCTATTGGGACGAGCCACTGGAGAGTCTTTTCCATCTCGGCTTTGATTTGAGGTACTGTGAGCTGCAAAAGGATAGAAAATGGAAAAATGATAAAGACTATTATTATTATTCGACAGTTTTATAGAGACAGGTCTGAAGAACAAATGTATTCCAGTCCGCAAAAGATATGCTTAAAAGCAAGAGCAAACAAAATATTTAACTCCCATGTACGAGAAATTGAAATCAAATTGCATCGGGAGTTAATAATAAAAAGTTGAAATCATAAAAAATGCGCTCCGATTATTTTCCAGAAAAAATATATACACACTCACCTCTTCCTTGGTGTCAGTTTGTAATCGGGAGCGTAAAGAAGTCTTGACAGCTGGCGGCAAACCGTTGTACAATGTATCTCTCATATTTGGAGGAAGTGAGGTAGGTCGTGAAGCCTATAGTTATAAAACGAATGCAATTTTAGGTGAATTTCTACTGGTAAAAAGTAAAAATCGAGACTAACATAATAATATAGAGAAGGTTTTGTTATAGAACTCACGATGTTATCTATTTGATTAATTATGTTAGCGTAATGTAAAGCGAGACCAGCAGCGCCTAATCTTTCTGCTCGGTTAGTAGAAACTTTTGCAGATTGTGACAAACCTGTAACATAGTCAAAATTCTAGACATAAAAAAAGGGAAATTTCATTCTTTTATTTGTATCTCAAATAATCTGAAATTTCAAGAGCAATAATACTTTCCTTTGGTTAAAACATTCTTCATTGAATTTGAACCCCTCTCAATACAAAGAAGACGTACAAAAGATAGAGAAAATATCAAAATACATAAGAATGCATTCATAATACCATTGTCTCCAAATACTTCAGGAATTTCGTGATGAATGAATGTAACAATGTCAACAAGCTTCTCCACAACCTATCACATGATAAAAATAATTCAAAATGAAGTTCTCAATTATTTGATCATTAACTTACTACAATTGAAACTTGTGTTTAAGAATGTACCTGTTCGAGACTTTTAGACCAAAGAGATTTCTTTTTCAAACTCCTCACAAGTTTGCGTTGATGTTTTAGTTCACTTTGTAGCATTGCAAGAGTCTCTCCTACAAATTTGGAAAATACATTTCAGAAAAAAAGTATTAGTCAACTCTTTCGGTTGAAGAGGTTCAAGGAAGCACAAAAACCAACAGAAAAGACTTTCCACCTCAGGTAAGTATAACATGGAAACAAAATTAATTGGGGAAAAATTGGAAAACTAACCATGCGATTTAGCCTAGTTTTCTAAAATCCAGTAATTTATCAAAACTAAATTGCATTTCCAAGTGTTACAAACAGTAGAGTCAGTTTGCATTGCCCCAATATATACCTCTTCCTGAGGGTAATTTACAAAATTAACCCTGGGATTTCGCCCCTGTCCACCAATAATCCAGTTACCTTTCATAATTACACTATAGCTTCTTGAACTGTTATAAAAACCCCTATAAGTTGTATTACCTAACAAATAGTCAAGTTGTCAAGGACCTTCTTCTCCAGTGTGTAGAAGAGAGATAAATGTCAAGGCCAGAATCTATTCTTTTGAATGATTTTCTTTGTTTGTTTCATTACTATTCTTTATGTCTTAAACCAATAAACAGGTTTTCTTATTCTTTATTCTTTTTCTGTAGATTTAAAAGAAAATGTTCGAAACACCTAAATGAAAAAAGAAATTAAAGTGATATCGAGGAAGAATACAGTAAAATAAATCTCTGTTAAGTAAAATAAATCTCTGTTAAGGAATAAATATCTTTAAATGAGTGCAAGAACACAAACCTTTGCGAGGAAGGTGCAATGAATCCACTTCGTCTAGCTTCCGTTGATAGTCTTGCTCAAATCTGTCCAAAGCATGGAACTCATGGTACAGTTCCTGCAGTTTGCAGACATCATTTTCTTCATTACTAACACATGACAGACTTCAACTTTCAATATATACACACAACCAAAGGATGTCAGTGTTCTCTCTAATTAATTGCAAAAAGCTGAATTAATTTGATCAAATTATTGTAAACCGTGAAGATCTTCATTTATTCATCAAATTTTGTGTCATATGAAAAAGAAGCTTCACTGTTTACGATATTCATTTCATAAGCAATACAAATTGCGTCAAAAAATGAAAAAAGTGGGAAAAAAAAATATAGGGAATGGCAATTAGAACCATGAAAAAAGGATTAAGCTAACTTACAGAGGTATACTGGGCTAGACTTGTTAACTCTTGCATTGTCATTTCAGCCTCGGTCCTTAGTTGTTTAGTAACATCAGGCTCCAAGTCAAGCCTAAGAAAGAAAAGGAGGTATTTCAGTCAAATTCAATTCTGCATGAAGACGCGAGTGGACTAATTATTACAAATTAAACTCCACTTACTTCACAAAATATCTATGTAGATTGTGCCATTGAGGGTCTTTACACAAGTTTCCGAATCTGATAACCTCACGAGAGAAGACTTCAAATTCTTCTCTGCATGTGGAAACATAGTTTTATCAAAACGAAGAGAGTGAACTGAAAGAACAATTTATGTGCAAGGAAAAAAAACAATTAAACAGCCTAGTTTTTCATTTGTTATCTAAAAAAAAGATCTTTTTTTTTTCAACCTTTTGTCAGCAGCCGCAATACTGAGGAGCTCGTCCATATCAGTAGAAACCAACTTCCGAACACCTTCTGAATTCAAAACTTCCTTTTTCAGAAACTGAATATTCTCTTCAGATAGGGACTGCAATAAGTTTGAGCCTTTGGCTATGGTATTAGCAACCTCAAATGCTAGTATGGTTATTCTATGTCCTCTGGAGGTCACGCCAGTTGTAAATCCACCGGAGTTCAAATTCGTCATGCTGCTGCCCAAAGTATCTAAAACCTCAACAGCTTTCTCTAGACCAACTATGCCCGCTTTTCCAAGAAATGACGTCGATTGAGGGGCCTATCGTAAGAAATTGAAAGCATTAACATAAGTTAAAGATTTCTGACAAACAATGTAACTAAGTTACCTTCAAATTCTTGAACAGAAGTGAACTCAGTAAATTTTTAGGTTAGAAATGTGGTTGAATTGAATGAAGCACAAGATTAAATGAAAATGACAAAGCTATCATGGTAGTTTCTCAAAAAAAGCACACACTGTACTTCTAAATTATAGCCAAAGCACAAATGTAGACAATCAATGCATTCGTAAACAATATGAGGAAGGTAAACATCGAGGATCCTCTCCTGAGATTCCATTAAAAGAAGAAAAAATGGGCAAACGGGTCGAGAGGTTGACCATACCATTGCAATATCTGCGGGAGAAACTACAACTTCAAAGAGGATGAGAAACTGAACCACTTAGCTAACTGTCGCAAGCAAAATGAAGAAGGAAGCTGAGGCGAAAAAGAAGGCGGCTGCAAAACAGGCCATCAGGGGCCGTAAGTATAACTAAGTGCTTGCTTTCGATTGTTCAAGTCTGTAGCACTGTACCTTGTTTCGCTGCTACCACTAGAAGCTTGCTTCCCACCTGAATGAGATAGTACTTTGATGTCGGTTTACATTTTGCTACTTCATTCCTACTTGACGGGATAGTACTTTGATGTCGGTTTACATTTCGCTGCTCATTCCTATTTGAATGGGATACTACTTTAATACCGGTTTCTTGAATGGTAAAGTACTTTGATGTCAGTTTCTTGATTCCTACTTGAATGGCATAGTACATTGACGTTGCTTTACAATTTCGCTACTTGCTTCCTACCTGAATGGAAATGTTATTGGATATATAACTGTTGCAATTAGATTTCAATCAATACGTTATCAGGAAAAAAACAAATAAGCGTATTTTACCATAGCAAAGGAAGACCTTCATCCTTTATAGTGGCGGAACCATCCTTAAGGAAGGTAACAACCAACATCCAAATTCAGGATAAGAAACCATTAGTCTCTATGGTCTTCAAATTTGGGCCACTAGCCTGAAAAGCTTCACTCTCGCTGCACAATATAATAGATTTCATATTATACAACTCAAANAAAAAAAAAAAGAGGGGATGATTCAGTGAGAGTGAAGCTTTTCAGGCTAGTGGCACAAATTTGAAGACTATAGAGACTAATGGTTTCTTATCCTAAATTTGGATGTTGACTGTTAGCTGCTCTCCTGCTGCTCTTGCTGCTCTAGTCCTTAAGGATGGTTCCGCCACTATAAAGGATGAAGGTCTACCGTTTGTTGTGGTAAAATACGCTTATTTGTTTTCTTTTACTTGTTTTTTCCCTGATAACGTATTGATAACGTATTGATTGAAATCTAATTGCAGCAGTTATATATCCGATAACATTTAACATTTCTATTCAGGTAGGAAGCAAGCAGCGAAATTGTAAAGCAACATCAATGTACTATGCCATTCAAGTAGGAATCAAGAAACCGACATCAAAGTACTATACCATTCAAGAATCAAGAAACCGACATTAAAGTAGTATCTCATTCAAGTAAGGAATGAGCAGCAAAATGTAAACCGACATCAAAGTACTATCCCATCAAGTAGGAATGAAGTAGCAAAATGTAAACCGACATCAAAGTACTATCTCATTCAAAGTACTATATCATTCAGGTGGGAAGCAAGCAAGCAAGCAGTGAAACATAAAGCAAGCTTCTAGTGGTAGCAGCGAAACAAGGTACAGTTCTACAGACTTGAACAATCGAAAGCAAGAACTTAGTTATACTTACGGCCCCTGATGGCCTGTTTTGCAGCCGCTTTCTTTTTCGCCTCAGCTTCCTTCTTCATTTGCTCGCGACAGTTAGTTGAGTGGTTCAGCTTCTCATCCTCTTTGAAGTTGTAGTTTCTCCCGCAGATATTGCAATGGTATGGTATGGTCAACCTCTCGACCCGTTTGCTTTCTTCTGTTTGATAGGGAAATTCTTTTAGCAACACAGTCAAAATTGTTTCGCATTTTCATCCAAGACCTTCATGGTTTTGCACTTTGCTATATCTCAGTTGAGGTGGTAAGGATGATACAGTGTGTAATCTTTACATACGGAGGATCGCTAAATGCATTGTTCCGAATTTGTGGTCTTTTGGATGACTAAAGTCCTAGAAAGAAGTAATTAACCCCTTCTCATTATT